ATGCGTTATGACGCATCTACTTGTTGGGCCAACATAGGACAACACTAACATATGTGAAGGCTAGACCAACGCGCATGGGCCACTGCTGGTCAGCACTATTTGATCTTGCTTTCCGCAGCCAAGGAATGATACTGGACCAACGCTGTTCTTCCACCCATGCTGTTTTTTTTCCACCGTATGCTATACATAGAGGGTGTTCATTTGAAAACATCACGGATTTGTTGAAAACCACTGATTAAAAGAAAAATCGCAGAGACATGTCAATAGATTTGTCAAGGGGAACAACATTTCAACCAAAAACTACTCACCCCCTTTCACACTCTGCACCACGGGGTCATCCCCTTGAAAATTCCAAATGACAAGGGGTATCGATTAATACGGCTTGTTTGAAATGTCCTTCGAAGTGGAAATAAAGACGTTTATATTTTTAAAATCGGTCGATTCATCTTCAAGAAAATTAGAAAAATCTTTATTTACCTTAATTTGTTCAGATAGAAATCAAAACACACGAAAATATCAGTTTTATTTTAATAAGTGTTCAAAATGCAATGCTATAGTCGATGTTCAAATTTCTGAGAGACATTTTTAAAAACATGTTGTGGGATATCATTGCAGCTTTCGATGATGCGTTGACGAAGTTCATCCAAACTTTCAGGTTGGTGTGTAAACACAATAGAATCCAAATGACTTCAGAGGACAAAGTCTGATGGCGTCAAATCAGGAGATCTAGCAGGCCATTCTATAGGTTTTCTTCGCCATATCCATTTATCTGGAAACTCGTCGTCTAGCCATTGCCGGACCGGAAGAACATAGTGAGGAGGAGCGCCGTCTTGCTGGAAATATATTTCAGCCTCATCAAGTATAGGGTTTCCATCCTCTTCGATTTAGTTTTCAATGGTTTTAGTGATAAGCGGATTGATGGTATTTTGCAACATATCTAAATAAATGTCTCCATTCAAATTTCCTTTAATAAACAATGGCCCAATGGCTTTGTTGCATCAGGATTTTAAGTGCTCCAATACATGCAGTTATGCTTGTTAACAAATCCATTGAGAGAAAATGTGCATCACCACTGAAACAGATATTCTTTACATGAATGGTATCATTAATCGCTGCAGCCATTTGTTCACAAAACTCAACTCCCTATCAAAATCATTTTCGGTTAACTCTTGAAATATTTTCATTTTGAATGGATGAAATTTATGATGCTTAGTAACTATGTATACCGAGTGTAATGAAATACCAGTAGCAGCAAAAATTTTGCGTTTGTGTAATAAATAGAAAAACAACTGGCATCAACTGACCGAAGGCACAATTTGCACCCTGTATCATATCCTACAAGTTGGCCAATTGTGCGTTTCGCTCTAGTATGGCATTGCATATCATGGTGACCTCAACGTTGGTTACAATGTATTGGCCCAGCATGTGGTTGAATGATTAAGGCTCCTCTACACGTTGGCCAATCAGCTGACCAACACGCTGGCCAACGCATTGGCAAGGACATTGGACTATGTCCACATCTTGGAACTGTTGGAAGGACGTTCATTTCGCTTCGACGCAGGCCAATATGAACAACATGGAGATCGTGGAAGTAGCAGGATTCCAAATACAGTTTTCGGTCTGGTAAAGTTCTATGAATCGAAACACTTCTTCGTTACTCATCGTCACCATTATGTACTATCAAATACACAATGAACAGTCACAAAATCTCTAAGCACCACAGAACAAAAACACTCAAAAACACCCATGCCCTACAGCAGCTGATCACATACTAGGCCAGTAAATCTCCAACGTGTGGACGAGAATACCAGCGTCCGCCAGTTCCAAGGCCAACGCCTTTGGTGCGTCTTGAAAAATCGACACCACGACAGATCGGTCACCAACGCTTGGACCAGCTCTGCCAATGGCACCAATACGACCAACAGCGTTTTGGCCAAACCATTTGCCAACGTGTAGACGAGCATTTAGTCAGACTTCAGCGTCCATCTAGAACGATTATTGTAGGTACTCGTTTTCACTGTTTCGTCGATCATAGACATAGAAAAAGTAATGCACCACACTCTTGACAGAGTAAGAAGTACCTATGCACTTACGCGCCCCATAAAATGCAAATTAAAGGTTTTTGATGAAAAAGTACTTCCCATCCCTTTTCAACCAAAGTCAATCTGTGTGTAAGAATGTATGGCTTTATGTAAAGTTAATTGGTCTGGGCCCTGGCACAGCAGCAACCTCCAAATCTGAGCGGTACTTCTCAAGTCATAGATAAGTATTAGAGGGCAATCAGAACGACGGAAATGAGTATCATTGTTTTTTATGATGTGGCGCAGACGGTAAGAAGATGTTGCAGGAGTCGATAATAATAATGCATTAATAGGTTTACGTATTTAGTACTACTTCAGTCTGCGTTTACCCGCGTGTTAATGTGGCAGTCTCAGTGTTAATACCTAGGATATACGCAACGTTGAAGTGTTATTTGACCACCACAGTTTCTGACTAAAAGGATGAGTTAATAATTTTTATCTTTTTTTATGGGTACTTACATGTTAGGAGTGTTTACATATTGAAAACAAATATAAAAGTATGTCAATTATGTGCCTCTTATCTGTTTTCTAACTAAAACAATTCTCTATTGTATATCTTCTTTATTTCGAATCTGTTAATTAATATGAATGTAAAGTTGGCGTTTAGTAGAGCCCTGAAGAACAATTTTTTCCTGAACATCTCCAACAACTTTATGACAGGAAACTGTTAGGCGCCAAACCTCTTTCAATGTAAGTAATGTATTACTGGAAGTATTTGTAAAAACGTATCTACCTCAGAGATTGCACCTTTTCCCGAGCAACTAACCGCAGGTCTTGACTTTCGCCATCAACCTCAAGCTTTTAACCCCGTAAAGTTGTAAGAGGAGAACTTCACGTCAGAGAGCATGCGAGAGACGACAAGGGAAATTGTGAATGAATTTCATGCCATACGTCGCTTTCACATTTAACTTTTCACATCAGTCATAGGGGCAATTCAAACTTTGAAGACACGTGACGCTTCCAGCTCATCCCGAATTACGATGTGGAATACTGATAGCTGATAGCTAAAACAAGAACTATTTCGATAAGTGTGTTCCTATTTTTCCACTTATTCTACCATATGCTTATTTAGTCTGGTCTTAGTAGGGTAACGTTCGTGAAGTTAATACACTCAATCATTAAAGCTTGGCCTTCCGAGCGGTTTGTCAATAGATAATAACGCTAAACAGAAAAACACTAAGTTGTATAGCATTGGAGTTGTACCTCGGAAGTTAGGAGAAGCTATATAAACAAAATAGATAAAGCTGTCAACACAGACAAATTCGTAGTTAGTTAAACAACAATACTAAAGGTGGCTATACTTAAATTAGGTCTTCAGAATGTACATCAGGAACCTTTGGGGCTGTTTCTCTTGGAGTAATACTGGAGATGCAACATTTTACTCTCGTTTATGTTTTCAATGATACTGTATACTGAACTTGAACTTCCTTGACATAATCAGTTGATCGGAGACACTAGAGACAGATACTTTTGTCTGGTTTGTCTCACTGCCAAACAGAAAAGTCAAGTCTGTCAAACGAAATAAGTAAACAGATGGACTAAACTGTATCATATTAGGAGCTTAACTATGCTACGGGAGACTGCAAATTGCGCAAACCGAACCTTAGCGCAGCTGTGATCCGCTCTTGTACACAAACATGAACTGGATGACAGAGAACCATTATTTTTTAATCCTCCAATAAATTTAGAGCAGGCTATTTATAATGCAGTAGTACCTTAGGAATTCCTGCATTTTGTATTGAGTATCAAGAAAATGTAAGCCCAATTTGCACGCTCATACTGACAGTGACAGGGATAAATATGTTAGACTCATACGTTGACGAGAAAATATTCAAGAGGTTGTATGTGTGAGGGAGATGGATGCATGAAAGTAATTGCTGTAGTTTCACTCGGATCCTCAAAAGCCATGAAAAGGACTATATTTCTTAAGAAATTTTCGGTATTTACAAGTATGCTGGTTTTCCTTAGTACATTTACATTGATTGTGAAATTTACAAAGGTTTATATCTATTCAAGAGGGAATCTTACTTAAGTTCTAATTACAAACATATTTTGTTCACATGCCCAAATCAAGAAGTTATTTTTTAACTTAACCGCATATAAGTGCAAATAGGCTATGCTTGTTCAAAAGAATGGAAGTCAGGCAACAAGTCTTATCGTAGCTTTAAACTTTAAACGGTCGCATACAAATACCAATTTCCGTTAGTAGTCCACTCACGAGCGTTTTTGTAAGAAATCTGAAAGAGACGCGAAAAAACTGGAGCAAGCTCTAGACCTTCGTCAGACACGGGAGGTCAGGTTATAGGAGTTTATTTTATGTTGTTGACAAATTATCAGTCTGAGAATACGAAATTTTAGCAACAAATACAAGGGAGGTTGACTGGTGATCTTTTCTTATAAGGTTGATGTCATGACGTCAGGTAGCAGCGCCCGCATTGTGGTATGGGTTTACTAATCAGTCGACCGACGTGCGCTGCTCGAGTTTGAGGTCCGTTTCAAGATAATTTTTCTCTTGGCTATGCATGTTGTGACTGTTGAGGGCTTATGACTTTTCAACGTTTAGGTACCACCCGGCGGACCTCGTAGGCGGGGCCAGAATATGTGCATGTTGCTTGCACACGTGCTCCCTCGCTAGGGTCCATGTGGCGTCCACCCCTTTTCCGTGTATCCCCTATATGCCTCACGGTACGCCATGAGTGCTTAGACCTTAGGCCTTCGAAGTGGTAGGAGTATAAAGAAATGTGTATGATTTTTTTTTAAAATGGAAATGGAATCCGCTTTATTACCTATAAAGGAACTACGGTCATCTTCCTTGACAGCAATAGCTGTGACAATGAATAATGTGTGTGAACGTACAAGAATGTAGCTTAGGGTTGGGCATACTCTTGAACATGGCTTCATCAGCGGGTGGTTCATTTTTTCTCTCTTTGTTTCAGTTGAGCGAAGAGCTGGGATATGTGCTGTATTCAGCACTAGGCTCATTCTACATCCCATCATGCATCATGGTGTTTGTGTATATCCGAATCTACTACGCGGCGAAAGCGAGAGCAAGAAGAGGAATTCGAAAACCGCCTCGGCGTCCAGCCCAAGAGCAAGTCACTAGTTTTGTAGCGGTAAGTAGTCTAGATCGGCATAATTTTGTTCTAATTCAAGCTGTAGGAGAAAAGTGATTACGGTGGATTTTGGGTTGTGTTCTCCAACTGTTCTCATTGCACCCCAACTTGATTCAATGCGATCCAAAGTTTCTAGAGTGCTTAACCATCTTTTCGCTAAGCACAGCTTAATTATATCGCAAATGGTTTAAACGAATTTTTTGCAAGTCATATCAATCTTTACCTTCATTGTTTCCCGTACTGCCTTTCAAAGTCCAAGGAATGTCACTTGCAAGGCGATATTTTCCGAAAGGCACAATTACGTCACGACGAATTTGTGATAAACCCTTTTATCATTTCTGCAGACGTAAGTGTTTGATTGATTTTCTCAGCGTAGATATCCTATGCCCCAACTTTTAAACTAAAAAGTCAGCCCACAAAGGAAGCGTGGAAGAACTCTGCAGGATAAAATACGTTTCTAATATTTAGTTCCCACTCGAGTATGTAGTTTACCTAATTATGTATAATAGAGGAATCAAATGAATTATGCCAGTCAAACAGCCTCATATAATTAGTACATAAATCCTATTGCATTCTAGGCTACTAACAGTACCGAATACTCAGCAACGTGGAAACCCAGCACTGGGTTGCATACACGAGTAAACGCACCAGCATCCAGTTGTCCCTCAGCAATCTTAACAGAGGCACGCTCGTTGAGTTTTCGTGTAAGAAATGTGATTAATAGACGAGAAGAAATGACGGGGCTGGTAACGTATAAAAAGCTGTTTCGTCCTTGGCATAGTGGCAACATTGCATGGAAATTGCATCAACACCCGAGCGGTACTTTCAAATTTATAGACAGGCCAAGAGGTATCGGATAGACAAACCCACAGACCGACGTATTTGAGTGATAAATATAACACTCTACATTTCTAAATGCCATCATATACCAGATGTAGTTAGCTTACATGTCTGCTGCATATGTCGCTAGTGTCCTTTGATATACCGAAAATGTTATCAACACGTCATAAAATATCCATCAAATCAGTTACTTGACATACACAATGAGGTGGGTGCCTCTAACTTCTCTGACAATTCTAGCGTCCTGTTGAAATAAGATTGTAATCATCAAAATCGTATCGTATTGTATCGTGCTCTTGTCAGTCGGATACCACCAAGACGTTGCCTTGGTACGTAGATTGATTTTATGCAAAAAAAATCTATCAACGATATTTTCTTACTTGTCGCGCCGCGTACTGCCTCGGGTGTCTCCAGAGGTTGACTTTGTTAGGAGATAGTTAACTATAAATACTTATGACAAGGGAACTAAAATCAGTCAAATAGATCCATACAACAGCTTTCTAGTCCCCACCCATTTGATGACGTTGCGACCTAGAAAATTCTCATCTACTTTACCGACCATCCGATGTTACGGTGAGAACATATTTCCACCATGCGAAGCCTTGAAATGAACTATGCGGTGCAGTGATCTATATATATATATATATATATGATATGACATATATATATCACCGCACCCTGTATATATCTATATATATATATAGGGTGGCCCATCCATGTGTGGACGGAATATTATTACTCATGAACAAATTCATTTTGGGAAAATCTATCTATAGTCAACGCCAAACAAAGTGGCGTGCACGTCATCAAGGTGGGTGTGTTGAAAAATTTACATTGTTGCCAAACTTTTTGTAAAATAATAAAATTTATTATTTACATATCTAGGTTTATAAGCAATATTAACCTCAAATGAGAACAAAAATAATAGTATAATAAAATTATAGATCTGTACTTGCATAATCATTAAGTATGACAATTATTGATCAGATGACACTATGAAACTACCATATTTAATTGATAGCTTAAAGGTACTGAATAAAAATCCAAATGGGGTCCTCCAAATTTTATGCATGGTATTTATTTTACAGAATTCATACAGAAAAATGCATTCTAAAATTAGGTAAGCTACTGGTGTAAGCTTTTTCTGTACAATAAAGTTAGTCGGAGTTTCTTTCTTCAGCGCTGTCTGAATCTGAATCTTCATCTCTCTCAAAGTTGATTATTAAAGGTTCGATGTCTGGTCGATCAAAAATTCGTTCTCTTTCATACCATTTAAAAATTTCTTGCTCAGTATGTCGAACACTATTTTTCCACATGTCTGGGTTAACCGTTTGTAGAGCCTCGTTCCACATATCCAAACAGTCTTTTTCACTGTTACCATCTCTACCAATATGTCTGTTATAGTAACCTTTTGCTATGCCCCAAATTAACTCAATAGGGTTAAATATACAATGGTAAGGAGGCAGACGAAGAACTTTGTGCCCATGTTGTTCCGCCAATTCATCAATCACGTATATTTTAGGTGGTTTGTTTCTAAAAAAGCAGTTATTTTAAGAATAGGAATAAACAAAAGAAATATAAACTGTCGACCAAAATATATATAATTAAGAAGCATTATGTACCGAGCAACAATACTCAATAGCTCTGTTTTAAACATTGTGTTTAAAAATGGTATGTTTTGATTTGTCAACCAGTCTTGGATATTTTTTTTTGTCCATGCATTGTTGGGCACTTTGTTCAATATCATGCTGTGATAAGGGGCGTTATCCAGTATAATCATAGATGGACTCTCCAATTTTTCTAATAACTGATGTTGAAACCATTTCAAAAAATTGTCCTGGTTCATCTCTCCATGGTAATCGCTCAATTTTGTTTTCGAAGAAAATATCGCTTCACTACCCTCAATAAACCCATTTTCATTTCCAGCATGTAATATAATGTATCTAAAATATATTAGTTTTAAATTTTATAGTGCAAATTGTGTAAAAGTACATACCTTTTACCATCTGATATAATAGCTTTCACGCTTTTTTGGTTTCCATTTTGCCAAGAGCGACCTATGGTCCCATTTTGAAATATCCAAGTTTCATCGAGGAAGACAAACTGGTATAAGGCCTCAACCTTGGCTTGATTGTATTGCCTTAGAAATTCCACCCTTTTCAAAGCTATACTTGGTAGTTCCATGAGCCCTCGTCGCGGATTGTCCTTAAGCCACTTAAATCCAGGATCTCTAAGCAACCGCCTTAAAGACGTGGCACTACCATCAAATAATGCCCTATCTCTTAATCGAGACCATAAAGTTTGTCTCGTAACTTGTTCTTCTGAAACCATGTGTAATATGACATTATAATTTAGTTAACAAATTAATGCAAATTTCTGATAAGTTATTATAATAAGATCTTACTTTTGTGATACATATTATAGATCACTTCTCGAATGGCACTTGTATCCAATGTCGCTGTGTTGGTTACACGTTTAATATAACTCCGCTTTTTCTTGGGCGATTCTAAATTTGCATCACTTTTCACACCCTCGGAAATACGACTAACTGTCCTTAAACTAATTTTTAAAGCAGCAGCAACACGCTACAAAAAATGAAATAAAATTTCACTATTATTAATATACATTACATATAATTATTAGTAACCTACCTCTTGAACAGCATTTAAAGGCAACAAAGGCCCGTTGTTGTCCCTTTCTTGCTCAAAGTAGTGCATTAACGAGGCCACGAGTTCCTTACACCGACTATTTAACTGTTTGGGCATCTTTATATACCAAAATTGCCTTTATCTACTCGTAAAATGAATAATTTTGTTTTGAAACAAACAGTTGTTGATTTACAGTATGCGGGGCCAAAGGATTTATAAAGATTTGAAATGCCACAAATTGATTCAGTGTCAAAATTAATACAAATGTCAGTTCCCAGTTTAAATAAGTTTCAAGGTGACAATGTGTCAACGCTGCGAAATCGGTTTAGTGCGTTTACATGTCGATAAGTGATTGGAGCGTTTGCAAAACATTTTATTTCGCATAATGCGTCTAAATTTATCAGAAAGCAACTTATGTGATATTTTAATAACAATGTTTATATGACTATTAACCATAATAAGAGAGTAATGACCATTTTACAATTTATATATCACATTAATATGAAACTGCAATAGAGCAATTGTTTGTGATAGAAACCTAGGCATTAGGTCGGGGAATTTTTATCGTGATGACGTGCACGCCACTTTGTTTGGCGTTGACTATATGGCATGTTATACATGACATTCGAGAGCACATTTCTAAAATATTGGCAATTATACACGGAGTCCCAATTGTGACCTAAATATCAAAGTTGTGATTTCTTAAATGGAATGCCTCATATTTTATTGCGTATTTGAATAAACCAATTCAGAAGAAGAAGATTGATATCACATACTATGGGGTTTTGGTAATTAGCTACTGAGATGTAAGGTGTTTTGTCCAGGAAAACCGTGCTGAATTTTGTATAAAAAAAACTTACACACCTCAGCTTTTATCTTATTCGTTACTTGTTCGAATTTTAATTTTTGCTCATACAGGGGGGGGGTCAAAAACGCAAATAGTACTTTTTCTCAAAAATTTTAAATGCTTCACTCTATATATTTGTGCAAGTTTGGATTCAGTTTTCTATAAGCTTTTTTTGGTATAAGGTTTGATTCAGATAAAATCACTAGATTTTGAGTTATTAAGCTTTTAATCGAACAACACACCAAAATTGAGGAAAAAAATCACATTATCCATGGAAACAAATTTCAAACAGTGGGCTAGTTCCATATTGCCACTAAGGGTACATATTTGAGGTAAAAACTAATAGCAATCAGAACAGTATAAATCAGGTTCAAGCATGTTAGAGAAAAACAACTATAACAACAATATAAACATACAGCTATCAGTACTCAAGACCTAATCTACAAAAACTGCTCGAAAATATCTCCACCATGTTGAATACACAGCCGTAGTCTTTGTTCAGAAAAGCATCCTTAATCCTTTCCTTCATATTTTCCAGGGTAGATGTTGAATATCTATAAACCTCCTGCTTAACGTAGCCCCCTAGAAAGAAGTCCATGGGTGTCATATCTGGTGATTTAGGAGGCCAAGATATAGGCCCATCACGACCGATCTAACAATTGTTA